TTTGAATTCCAAATAGTAAAATCTTAGCAGTTGGTGTCACTGTTTTTCCTAGGGACAGTGAAGCAGCTGAAAATGTCCCAATGTAGACCAGGTTGTATCCTTCAGTGCCTGGCATCTGGGTATGTCACGAGCTTTAGTAGGTTTTATCTAGTGTCAAGATATTAATGTGCTGGGTTTTGGTTGGTTTTGTTTGTTTTTTTTTTTTTAATTTATGCAAGTGCCAAAACAAAAGCAGAAATAGAAATCACATTGGATTATTTTGTCAAAACTGCGAATTAGGACTGCAGGAGCACTAGAATTTAAAAATGAAATTTTCAAAGCTTCAACCGCTGTAGTTGCCTTTCCCTTATTTTGGCCTTAGCTACAAGATAATCAGTTTTGAGGTCAAAGGCAGAGTGCTTCTAGCACATTATTGCTTGGTATGTTTGTCTATAGCCCAGGAAAAGCCAGGGACAGCTGTATCTTCCTCACAGATGATGATCTTGCAGATCCTTTTGGAAAACTCCACAGGAATCCTTAAAACATGTGGAAAGAGTAAAACAGGAATCAACCTGAAATCTTTGTATTTTAACACCCATGCAAAGGCAATCCCACTCTTGATCTTTCTCAAATCTAAACATAACAGAATTTTAAAAATTGTATTTGGGTTGAAAAGCCTAAAATCTATTGGCGGTGAACTTCGCCTGGGCACATCTGCAGGTGGGAATTGCCGAAGGTGTGAAACACTTGCAGAAGATCTGCTTGTTCTCATGCTTAAGTTGCAGTCCTGAGGATGTATCACAAGGTATTTGCTCACTTTCTTGTCTGCTTCTGGAGGGAACTCTTTTATGGAGGGGAGTTCTTTGCTCACAAAAAGAAATCTACCATTTCCATATTATTATACCCTCTCGCAGTCAAACACACTTATACTCTGGAGCACTGACCAAGGCTTTCTGTATCCAGCTTTTGCAGAGCTAAGGTGCAGCAGGTCAATGAGTTGCAGAGACTGGCTGAGGATTACAGTTTAAACTGAGTCCTCCCATCAAGAAGAAGACATCTTAGTCAGGAGAACTGCTCCCCAGAGGGGCCTTGAATGTGACTGATGATGCTGAGACAATTTTCTGAAAACCTCCCTGGCCAAATAACGGGGACAATAATTTTTTTGTTTGTTTCAATCTGTTGCACCCACTCAAGAGCACACTGACTGCAGGAGAAGCTGAAATTGAGACTGTGGCTCTTCCCCAAACTGTGGTAAACCCATTCAGATTTGCCGTGATAGAAAGCAGTTCCCAACTTTCTCTAAGGCAAACCCCTGCCCGCCTTCAGCACGTCTTCTGGCCCACAGGATGGTGAAGTGCAACTGGAGGCATCTCATTCAGTGCAGTTTTATGTTGATAAAATTATGGGAAACAGTCTTTCTCATGTAATACCCCAGGAGCAATGCTACTCTGAGTGAATTGGAGCTTATTCCTACTCATATTTCAACAAAACTAACGTTGTCTCTTCTGTTTTGAATTTTTCTGGTTTGAATTTTTCAGGTTGGCGTAGCGCTGAGGGATGTGGTGGAGTTGAGAACGGTCAGTGTCAGGTTAATAGTTGGACTAGGTGATCTTCAAGGTCTCTGCAACCTAGATGATCTGTGATTCTGTGAATCAATGTAGGCAACAACTTTAAAGGAAAATATGTTTAAAAGACAAATTCTGAGATGAGAATATGCAACAAAAATCTAAGGGATTTTCTTTTACATAAGGAAAATAATCTGCTTCTCTTAGTTGCCATTTATATAGTTAAACTTGTTACCTACCTGCACTGCAAGTCAAAATCATATTATTGGATAATGAGATAGGTTATTTTTCCAGTGTTTTGCATGCATTTCCTGCTATTGAACATAACATGAATGTTTGGAAAAAGCAGCAAATTCTTGTCATTCTACAAAGATATTTTGGATCTTAACCAGAATTTGTAGTAGTGCACTTCAAAGTGATATAGAGATTTAGCAAGTTCCTCTCAGTGCATTGCTTCTAACCAGGTGGAATTATTGTTCCACTTTCAAATGTGTCCGATGGTGAAAAGAAATCATGGCAATATTGAACGTAGTAAAACCTAGTAGCAAATAAAGAGAAAAATATTTAGATTATATTTGAATACTTATCCCATACAGGCCTATTTAGGCAGCCCTGTAGCAGACTGGATTTTAAAGATTCCATCTGGAAGCCCCCAGACAGCCCTAGAACTTTTGCCTCAGTATTTATTTCAAGGCTGTAGGTTCTTCTATAAAAATCAAGTATCTAAAAACAAAGTAGAAAACTACTATAGAGTAAACTGAACTGTTAGTAGTTGGTAACGGTTTGTTTAGCCACTGCCGTCTTTATAACACTGTTGCTCCTGTTCTAAAACACTGAAGAGTAATAATGCCTCCACACAAGCCACTGCAAAATGTTGTACAGATCACTAAGTAGAAAGTTTTATATAGGTATAAGGAAAATAAATCAGCATTAGGAAGCACCGGACAGAATCTGTTTAATTGTAGATATTCGCTTTTTTACATTTGAGCCTCATCAAACACATTTTCATGATCAAAGATCTGGAAATGTAAAGCATACTGCCTTTAGAAAGTTTCGGAAATGAGAAAATGGGTTTCATTTACAATATTACTTATATCTCAGCAAAATTGGTAGTTTACTTTGCATCTGTAACAAATCATTAGCAGAAGTAGTTACTATGAATAAGAACCAGGTTAATAGGTTCTAGTTAACCCAGTGCATAAATTACATACTTTATTTTTGTTTACAACATGACTGCTGTTCATATTCGGCTCAGAAGTGCTTATGTTAAACACATTAATGCTCTAGTAACTAATGATATTCTTTCTCCCTTTTGATGTTGGCTTTGTAGATTTATTTATTCCATGTTGTGCAGGCAGTCACAGTATACGAGACTGGTTCATAATCTTTGCACTCTTAACAAGAAAAAAAAATACTCCCCTTGTAGCTATACATTTTACTGATTTGATCAAGATAATTTGCTGCGTTCCTTTTACTCTGCTCTTACTGAAAACTTGGGTAAAACTTTTTAAAATTATCCAGTCTGAAGGCACCCATTCTGTATTTTACTCCCTGTTAGAAAATGTCCTTATGACAAAGGTAAGACACTATTAATTGCATTTAGAAGTCTCTGAAGTGCCCTATTTAGACATTGCCTAGTCTTGAGCTCTGCAACAGAAGAGCAAGAAATGACTCAAGAAGGCAATATTAAAAAAGACTCCTGAATAGTTTTGAGCTGGATTGAGGGCTCAGGTTGTGGTAGGCTCGCAGCCGCATTTTAACATTGCATTTGGTGGTATGGAAGATTTGCTACTTATTTAAACTGAGGACTTGAAAACTCTTCTGTTTAAAGAATTTAACTTAAAGTTTCTGTAATTACAGATTCAAGAATGACAAGATTCACACTAACTTACTACAAAGTATTGTAAGTCAAAGTGTATATAAACACAAAACATACGCACACACAGAGCATGGAAATATTCGGATATCCAGTGAAGTCTATAGGTTAGATACACTTCCACGTCCACACTTGTGAAGGCACGCTGTGTATTTAAGCACATAGATGGGTAAAGAGGTGAATGGAAGAGGTTAGACTATAGTTAAAATTTCCCTCTTCTCGAGTTTGGAGCAAATACTCACAATGCATCAATATTTCTCAACAGGTGATAATTGAGATTCGAAAAGTCTGACTTCGCCCTGACTTTCCATCAGATCTGTGGGCAGGTGATCAAACTTCGAGGAGTCTGTGCCGGGGAAGCATCCCAGCTCAGGAGAGATGCTGGTCACAGCAGCTGAGATCCAGGAGAGCACAAAGGGTCTCGCTTAGAACCGCTATTGATAGGGTCCAAGGTAATTAATTGACTTTCGTCAGGTACTTTTCCGTATCATCCCAACTCAGATGACAGAATATTCTGGTAATTTCTATCAATTGTGCAAACCCAGAACTTGCTAAATCTTGGAGTTCTGGTATCACCCGCTTTGGGCCACAACCCCAGTCCGGCTGTACTAGGCTGTGATCATTCCTATTGTTCTTAAACGATAGGGAGGGGGGCAGAAACCACGTGTGCACCCTCACACTCTGGTCTATCGCCTTTCCCAGGGTTCTGAGTTGGCCTGCAGTCTGTTTCCAGGTGACAGGGGAGATAGGAGTCCTCACACTGAGGGAGTGCCTCAACTGCTCTCCTCCACTATCTTCCCTTTTCATCTTGGGTTGGCGTGTGGCCCAGGGGGCAAAATTGCACAAAGTCCCAAGCAGCTCAAGAGAGCGGGGAGCGTTGCACCGCCACAGGCTGCCCCAGGAGTATGTTAGCTTTGAATAAGAATATGTAGAAACCACACCCAACTTGTTTTCTAGTTATTTTTCTTCCTAATAACTTCATATATGACAGAAACCAGAGCCAGATTTGGGATATTTTTTTTACCCCAGGGTTTTTACCCCGGTTCTAGTCCATTCGACTTTAATGAAAGCAGAATTTATTCACAGCCTAATTTCCAATATTGCATTGGAGTCTCCAAGTTTTACACCTGTCCCTCTTGCAGAGGATGTGTTTTGTGCTGAAGCTTTTGGTGCTGTTCTGATTCAGCAATGACCTTGCTGCACCCACTAATGAGCCCACACTCCACCTTGGCCAGGAGACAAAGATCTACCTATAGCAACCCTTCTTTAATGGGGTAAATATTTTTTAAAATTATTTTTTCAGGTGACCATGTTGCTGACCGGAAAATTGTGTTTTATGAATGCTTGGAAAAATTGTGGTGTTGTGTCATTTCATCATGAAATTATTTGTTGTTGGAAATGTTATTTAAAGGCTTCATCAAATGAGGAAATACCTCTGCTGTTGTAGGCCAGTCTCTCAACTTTTTTTTTTTTTTTTCACTTCATCTTTTTGATGCTGTGAGTGGATTTCTTTTTTTTTTATTCTATTGAAACAGTTCAGATTTTGCTCAGGCCTTCTTTTAACATCTTCAGATGCAGGTATGAATCTCTTTAAGGAGATCCTGCCTAGAGTAAGGAAGATTCTTTCAGCCGCTACAGCTTCTGATGACCACATGTTGCTTAACCTCATGCTGAAAGAAGATGTGATATCCAAGGAGTACCATCAAGCCTTGGTCCATGAAAAAGACAGAGAGGACCTCGCAAGGAAGATATCTCTGATATTTGTGGAAAAATGGGACCTGTACTTGAACACTTTGGTTCCTCTCTGTTGTTTAAACCTCTGTGGCAGTAAGCCTCAAAACATGACAGATAATGAGCCAACAGGAAGCAAGTACATTTCTGGTAAATCACAGCCTTTATTTTTGTTCTTTGTTGCTTTGTTAAAGATTTACTTTTATTTGTTATATTTTGAGATTGCATTGTGGCATGGTGCAAAGTACATCAGTGGAGAGCAGGGGGGAGAGAATGTAATGCAGAATGTAATGCAAGAGCAGCTAAAATAGGATCCACCCATTCAGGGTAGCTACCGGATACCCATTTTCATAGCCAGGCCATAATAAAACTTCTTCTTTGCCACCTTTTGCAGAACCAGAAATGCAAAGTAGATTAAAGAGACCATGATCAGGTCAGGTTTTCTCAACTGACTTACCAACTGTTGATAGTCTGAGTAGCATTTGTCCATGGCACATGCTGGCAATTCATGTAGGAAAATCTCTTATCGTTTTCAATCGTATATGAGAGGAATGCTCTTCACTTTAAATTCCAGATGTCTATAAACCATGAAATTGTATTGTCTACAAAAGACTGCTGCAGATTTAAGGAGGGGGAGTTCTAAATAACTTACGAGGCTTGGATTCAAGAGTTTTAGTGGGCAGCAGGAGAGCTAAAAATGCAGACACCTTATAATTCTGAGGTAGTTAATTCCCTTTTTAGTCTGACCCACCACAGGGTTAATGTATATGTTGAAGAACAGGGACAGCTCTGGGGCAATCCTAACATTGTCCATCCTATATAAAATGACAGAACCCCAGTTTAAATTATAGCATTCAGAATTACTTTCACAAAACCAACTGTAAACGGAGTAAAAGAATGCTTAGTAGATAGAATATTGGGGTAGTCCTGTAGAACTGATGGAAGGACCTTAGGCTGCAAGGTAGTGACGGGGTATAAATTTTTTCCTCTCCTAAAACATGGTATTGGACATCCTTTCTCAAGGCATGGATGAAAGTACCAGCGAAAACGCTGAAGGAAAAAAAAATTAAGATAGTTTTTAAGAGGGCAAAATGCTGACCGGGAAGATTTTAGCTCTATTATTACATACATTCAAATTAATGCCAAGAATTCATATTTTAAATGTAGAATATTATAGCAAGTGGCCTACTGTCACTTATGCTGGGAGTATATATAGTCTGGTTTCTACTTTTAATTAAATCCCTGAAGTGCTTGAAAAAACATCTGCTCCTTCTCATTTTTGTAATGGTAGCACCTAAAACCTCCATTCAAAAATCTTGATCCTTTCATGCCTGGCTCTGTATCTCTGTCACAAAGCCAGTGTTTATTTGAGAAGTGACAGAGGGAAACTGAAGTGCATCAGAAGAAGCATTAGTCTTCATCCATCACCTGTTCAACCATTGTCACTGTTCTCTAGATAGTAGAGATAGACTTTAAAAAAAAGTCGTTTCAAAGACATTAATTCACCAGGAAATGACTCACATTGTATGAAAGACTCCAGCTTCCTTCAAAGCAAAATCTTTTCTGACTTTCATTTTGAAATTTGTTAATTTTTCAGCCTCGTGTTCAATCATCGTTTCACTCTGAAAAAGCCATGCAAAGAAAACTTGGGTCAGGAACGGATCAATATCAGCTGGTTTCTCACTACTTGATAGTTTTGCAACTATTTCTTCTACCACAAAACAGATCTTTACAATTTCTGGACAAAAAATCCCAGCTTTCCTCCTCTCGTGAAGTGCACTATTGACATCCATTTTGCAGTGCTTCCAGTACTAATCAATGTGTTCTGTTCCCTCCTTGTGCAGTAGGGCAGTATATCAGCAAACCTTGAAACAAAGAAGCTGATGGTCACCCGAGAGGCTTAGGCAGTTCTCATGTCTTGTTTTCCAGTCTGCTTTTCCCCTCTGTCTCCACAACCATCTTTACAGACTAGTCCACTAGATGTACCCATACTCTGATTTGCTCCAGCAATTGCTTTCTGCTGTTTCTAAGCAGCTATGGGTGTTGTGCAAAAGTGGACAACCTGTATTTGCTGAGTTATGAACTGGAATCACAGCTGAATTCTTTTGTTCCCCAAACTTTCATTCTTGAAGTGTCTAGATTGCCTCATGGGATTACAGCCTCAGAAGCTGGTAAAGAAATCTGCTGCAGGGCTGGTAAAGGAGTTTATAACTTGTGGGTTATGGTGTGCATTAGAATAGGGCTAACAAATAACCCTCTTAAATGTTGTGGGGATTGCTCGTGCAGTGATTGTATTGTCTCCTATCAAAACAGAGCATTAAAATACAGAATCTGTATTTGTGAAGACTTTTATTATTTTCTGCTCTGAATGCTGTTACACCAGGATGTTGCTTTTCTTCTAAAGCGCTCAGAGGAATTCCAAGAACACGGCTGCCTGGTTTGGGGCTCTAGAGGCTGAAGAGGCTTGTGCTCTACATTGCAGGGTGGGCCCCGTGTCTCTAAATACCAGGAACAGATCAGCCACTGCAAGGAAGGAAACAGCTTTATCTCTTTTCAGTGAGCACGGTCCCATGGAACCTGGTGGAAGTGGATCTCCTCTGCAAAGGGAAAAGGCTTACACATGGCAGCAGCAGGTTTGCTCATGGGACCTGCTGCCCTGTGCAGAAGCCATTGGTTATGAGCAGCTGATTAGAAACTTGCCTTACTGAAGCAACAAGGCTGGATGTCATTGACTTCATCAAATCCCTTTCCTCTTCAGGCTCTGGTGGAACTTTTGTGGTAAGTTATAGCTCATGGAATAATAGCAGAAAAAGTATTTTCTCACTTGAGAATATATTCTCTCTCATAATTAATTTCTAATGTGTATAGGTCTATGCCTGATGAAAAATACAAAAAGAGGCAAATAAACTTGCAGAGCCACACAGAAGCATCTATAGGCATCATGACAGGAACACTCATGAATTAAGTTGGTTTTCAATAGATCTGTCTTGTGCCAGGTAGGCACTGGCAGGGTAAGTGATGCTGCTACAAGCAAACCCTGAACACCATCCGAAAGCCAGACAAGATTTATGAGCTCCTGTTTTGTAGAACATCTTGTCATTTGGGGCCAATGGCGAGAGATGCTTACACAAGATACCAGTCTAATTTTGTATTGGTAGAGTCTGTGAGCATGTGAAGGAAATACTTTCACTTCTGTTACACCAAATGGAGCTGCAAAGTACGAGTGTCTGCATGCTGCTTGCTCTATGCTTCCTGATGGACTGTTTAACAGCATGACTTCAGGACAGATTTGAACTGAAATAAAAAAGGAGAGAAGAATTCTGAACTGGAATAAAAAAGGAGAGGAAGAATTCTGGGGAGCACCAGAAATTGCTGCCACCAGCTCCCATCCAATTTTGGCTTCCAGCTGAATAAATGCATCTTTTCCCAACCAGTGACAAGTGCAAGCTCTTCTTAGTGGTGACAAGTGGCTGGTAAAGGTAACAGTGCTTATTATACTGGTGTTGCTAGAAGGCAGGTTCTTCTTAATTTTCCTCTTTGGAATTCCCCCTGAGCTTTTAACTTTTCTGCAGTGACTGTTCTGGCTCATTTCCTCCTTTCTGATGTCACTTTCTATAAGCCCTGGACAGTGATAGCAGCTCTCCTCATTTTTCGTGCTGAATCCAGAGTGGAAGAACAGGAACTGTCCAATTCCCTAAGGTCGGTTTTAACTCAGCTCTTGAATGCAGTGCTTTTGTCGTGGTAAATTCATCTTATCTTACCTTTTGTAGGTATTGGTAACTACAGTGTGTCTGTATCTGGACTTGTATTGCTTGAAATATTAGTACAATGAAGTCTGAGCATGGGTGAAATTTTGAGGAATTTTTAGCAATTTTATTTTGTGGCTAGCCCTGTTCCTTGCTCAAAAGGTTGCTCTAGTTAAAAGTTAAAGTTTCAGCCTTTGTTAAGTACATGCTTGTTTTTTGTATAAATGTTGCTCCTACAGAAAGTGAAACAAGAATGCTGGAAGAAACTGGCTTATTATTCACGGGTCTGGCAAGACAACCCAGAGCTCTTTACTTTCACATTTAGGAGGACTGAGATTCCATCTTGAAGAAAGTCTCCGAGTGCAAATGTACTTTTTCTGCCTAAAAAGCTTATAGGCAAGGTGTCTGCTCTGCTGCTTCATTTCACTTTGCTGCTGGGATGGCAGAGCTGGGCATAGCTGTGACATGCAGAGGCGATACTGGATATGAAAAGTCAAATTCTGCTCTCAAATCACAACTCTGACACCTGCAGGATGGTACATTATTAGTCTGCCTGAACTCAGCTGTCTCCAGCGCCAGGCTAGTAACGTTTCTTTTATCTGTTGTGTTGGTCACTCTACAGCTAAGTTAATTGAAAGGCAGAAGCTTCTTTTACCTGGTATTTATACTTTTTCTAATTTCTTTAAACTCATCTCTAAGGGAAACAAAGGAGAATGTGGCAGGTTATAGATCACCTCTTTTTCCAGCATCATCTCTGTACTACTTCCTTTTTAGACTGTAAAGCCCATGGAGAGTAACACACCACTCCATCGGCAAGATGAAAACCGTTGGTAAAAGTAGTATCTTTTGTTAGGTTACATAATAAAACAGGAAAAATTAAACTGTCTTTCAGATGTATAACCCTTTCATAGATCTGAACTAGAAACTGAAACCTTCAAGCTAAATATAAACCGAGCACCATTACTCGCAGTTTACAAATAATTGAGCTGTTTCTGACAGGAAGATCTGTACCTGTGGAGCAGAGGAATTGTGAGTGATGGATTTGGAGAGAGGACAGGGAGGCAGGTCACTGTAGCATGGAGGGTTCTTCATCCTTCCTTGCTGCTGGCTTGCCCACCTCCCAGAGAACATTGCCCCAAAACATTGCCTGCGGCACAAGCCAGGAAACACTCCCCTGCCTTCCAGGGTGTGTACTGTGCACCATGACATAATCTTTGGGCGCACAGAAGAGAGGAGACTTCCTGAAATTGTTTTTTTTTAATACAAAAAGTCTTTAATATTGTGGCTGATGATACTGAGCTTTTAGCTCAAGATACCAGTGCTTCACTGGACTCCTTACTTAGAGTTTGACATAACCTGGGTTTTGTCAGCTTGCTTCTCTCAGATTCCTGTGTAGCACTTAAGGGGTCTGGTAAGAAAATAACATTTCTTCAGCAATCTTTCTCTGTAAATTTTCAACCTCCTGACTCCACAGCAGTCCCACTCTTGCATTTTTCTGTAATCTAAGACTAGGAGCTGTAATGTTATGTCATCCTCTGGTTAAGAAGCGTGTGATTTGCATGGGACTACTACTATTTTCTATGAATTATCCTCAGCTTCCTAAACTACTACAAAAATTAAATTGCAGGGTGGGAGTTTCCTCTGTTCCTGAAATGACTTTACATATTTTTGTTTCTTAACCTCTTTACTCATGTGGGAGATTTTATTACCTGTCAGTTCAGATGTCAACAGAGTTTTGGGAAGGAAACCCCCTAACAAATGTCCTCACAAGCATCCATCTTACTTTTGAAGTAAATGTTACATTTTTGTCTGTATAAGTCTCTGGGGTTTTTAGATACCATTTGATTTTAGTTTATAGCAGACCCCACTGATGGGAGTCTTTGATGTGTTGATCCTTTAAAATATAAGGCATGGCTAAATCAAATTATTGGGACAAAATGAAAAATCACAACGACCTCCCTTACATTTAGGAATCTAAAATGCCCCATCTAACCCTTAAGGTTTGTATGTGATTTAAGAGGACACCTCCTCCTTCTTTAACTGGATTCTTTGTCCTGGTATGGTGATGCTCACTATTTGTTTTACTACTTTTCCAGCATTTTTAATTCATATGGTATCACTTGGACTCTAAAAGAGCACTGAAAAAAACATTGAGAGTCTTAGAAGTGAATCATATTGTTGTGCTGTATATGCAGAATACAGCACTAAAACAAATGCATCCCAAGTAGAAACCTTGCTGTAGCAGGCACGGACTGAATCATTGCAGAGGGAATATGAAGGAACACAGGTCTACCGAGTATAGCGATGCAGCTGGAGTGCATGGGCTGCTGCAGACAGGAGGTGTTATTTCAAAATTTAAAGAAAAATTCTGTCTTATTTAGTGTCCAAACATCAGAGACTGAACTTTCTGAATGGCATGGAAATATATTTGGAATACATCCTGCCTTCGCCCTGCCCTGCACCTGCACTCTGTGCCACAAAGCGAGACCGAGGCATTTCCTGGGGTCTGCAGCCCTTCGTCCTGCACGTCTGTGTGAGGTCTGTCCTCCTCCTGCTGGAAGCTGGCTCTAGTGTTCACAGCCCTAACACTGACATTTTTTAGTCCTCTGATGTGAAAATGTGCCAAATACCCATTTTGTCAGCACTGTATGGGACCCCAGAGGGAATGTATTTTCAGTAAACTTAAGTTAAAATCACGTATGAAACAACAGATAAAGTGCTGAGCAATATAGAGCTTATTCATCTTTGGTGTCAGACGGAGGACTGCTGGGATTCTGTGAGAAAAAAAGGGGAAGCCCTGGGAAAGGAATTTCTGTGGTAAACAGGCTTGGTAACGTCTGGTTTCATTTTGTGTGCTTCGGTTACAACCAGCAGCAAAACACTCACTGTCCCTGAGGTGTAATTCTCCTTGCCTCTGGCTCTCTCACTGTAGAAATTTTAATCTTTCCAAACTTCACTTTCTTTTTCCTGCACCCTTGGGCAGAGTGCTTTCCATGGTGGCACCAGGATTTTAATGCAGCAAAGCAGAGCTGCTATTCAGAGTTTATGGATTCAGCTACAGAAAGAAATCATGGCATCCCAAGTCCAGTGTATTTGGTAGAAAGACAGCTATATAGAGATTCATGTCAAAACCAAAATAAAGAAGGAAAAAAAAAAAATAGGGTAAGCTGAGGGCTGTTCAGACCTGTGAAACAAAGACAAGTAATCAAGTTTTTCATTCTTGAAAGAGCATCAGTCTTCACTCTTCCCAAGGAAGAAAGCTATCTTTCTCTCACTTCTGTGTTCCTGGGTTATGACACCTTTTATGTTCTAATTTTCAGCTCTCTGGCTGGACTTGGCACCAGCAAGACTTCCTCTTGGTTGCTTCCTGACTTCTTGATCATTGTAGCTGAAAATATTTCGATTTATATATTCATATTTATATATTTATCCACAGGGAAATGCTATTGAAAGAAAGGTTTAAAATAACAAAAGCTCTTATGACTATGACTTAATTGAAACTTAGTATTTCCATGAAGATTAAGTAGGCCTACTTAGTCTCATTCTGTAGGACTTGCCCTTTTCTTTGTCTGCTGTAATCAAGCAGATTTACTAGCAGAATTTATTAATCGCTGAACTTGGAGTGATCCATTTGTCTGTCTTGCATTCCCTTTATGGCTTCTGCCCAATTACTTCTCTGTCTCTATCCCCAAAATTATATCAACTCAGGTGATGCTTCAACAGCGTTATTCACAAAGTCTGGCAACCTGGCATTCAGAAAGGCGCAAATCTGTTTAGATTTTACATTAATTCAACAAAGGAAGGGGCAAAGCAAAATGTTACAACAAACTGAAAATTTAATCTGGTATGTTTATAACCTAATTCTTGGCTCTTATGCAGGTTTGTCAACTTCTGCTTTCCATTTATATCACAGCAGGCAATAATATCAAAGTTTTGTCATCTTGGTAACATAATGAGGCCACACAACACGAAAATGAGAACCACCTGAGTGTTGGTGTTTCCTACTCGTGGGACATCTCTAGCCCACCTGCTCTTCTAAGTTCTGGCTCTAGATTCTGGTGTCTTCTGCAGCAGAACACAGAGAGGCCCATTTCCAAGCTGTCCAGAGGGACAACCATGTAGAGGGGTAAGAGGAATGATGATTAGTTTATAACAAGGCAGCATGTGGTAGTGCGTGGCTAGGTCTGCTCTGCCTTCTTTCATCAGAGCTGCAGTGTTAGCTGTATTTCTTTTTTCATGGTACAGCAGGTTGCTCCACATCTGCACGCTTCAGAAAAGCATGTGCAGCCAGGAACATCGGTGGTGTTCTGCTAAAGGCAGAATATTTGAGAGCTGTATTATAGGTATCTTTCACTGCAAAATATGGTGCTTGATGCCAAGCTGGAACTTTTCATGGCTGTGGTGTGTGGACACCTATTTTAAAAGGATATGGTTTGGAAATATTGCGGGTTGTTCATTTCATGCTGGCATGTCAGTATTATGGCGGAGTAAATAACTTGGATCATGAACCCCGGTGGCATTCATGTCAGTGATTTGTAAACACTGAAGAGGTTTTGAAATAGTTTGACAAAGATAGTGAATAACCAACGGGTTATTCCACTACCTGTGGAATATAGAGGAGGAATGTTTGGGTGCCTGCTGCACTAACAGGAAGGAAGTAGAAGGGATTTAAAATGAGGTGGAGGAAGAGAGAAATTGCATCAATAAATGTAGCTGCAGCGGTGTAAGCAGCTCTCTATAAACACTGGTGACTGGAACGGGGAGCACCTTAGGTCAGCCCATTTGTCTGGATACTCTATGACACTCTGCTTGGAAGGCAATAGCAATTCCCAGCTCATGAGTAGGTATGCACATGAGTTCTGAGGGGGAAAGAAAATGGATTTGAAAATATTTGTGAGAGGTTCCAAAATGTCAATGAGTGCCCTGTTACCAGAGACTAATTCCCAAGGTGACCATGTCGTTCTGTATGCAATGAACCGTACGGTTTGGGAAAGCGTTCTATGAGAGTTCTACCTTTCACTGTTCCTTCTCATGCTGAGGGGATGTCTCCTAGTGCCACCTCCAGGGCTTAGCAACTGGGTGTAGCATCCCAGCCAGAAGCTGCTTTCCCTGAGGAGAAATTGTCCTGACAGTAATGAATGCTATTCTCCTTCCATCCTCTTCACTGCAGCCTTCTCACTTCCCCGACACCTGTTGGATCTGTGCTTGCATCATTTATATCCTGATAAAGATATAGGTGTTGAGTTGTGACTTAATACTTAGCACTTTTGGTCCAGGTGGCCGGACTGCAGCATCCCACTCCCCTGAACTGGAGTAAATAGGTAAGTCTCATTGCAAGCTGTGTCTGGATCTGTACGTTCAAGTAACTCTGGGTTATGCCTTAACAAAGACATGGTAAGCAATGCCAGTTCCACAGCCTTAAGACCTCAGTGTCTTGTCAACGGAAGGCCACAGTGCAGGACTTGTAGTTTTGGTTGACAAAAGCTGTGGTTTTGTCATAGCTAACTGTTTTGCAATTTGATTTCAGACAGCAAGAGGCAAATCATGGATTCAGCATTTGTGTCTGAAAATGGCTATCTCAATTTGCTGCACAGTGATATTGATCCGTTGCATCTGTATACTCTCCTTGATCCTAAGTCATCTGGAAATGAAGAAGGTGACTTCTCTGTAGGTTAGTAAAACACTGACAAATGCTTGATTAATTTAGTCATCATGCTATAAGTTATTACCGTCTCCTCCCTACTATGTAGCCATCCAATGGCAGTTTATCATGGTGGCTGGACTAAATTCAACAGACAATTAGTTTTACAATATGATAACTTTGTCTGTATCTGTATATAAAATAGTGACTGCTTCCAGAAACAATCACATTTTTAAAACCATACATGTTTACAGCTTCCAGCTCAGTGAGTCTAACAAAACATACTGTACATGCCACTCATCAAGGTGTGAGGCTAATGTCTTTGGTTTGGATATCATTCCTGTAAGTAGTTCATTTGCAAATGTTCCCATCATAACCTGGCCATGTGTAATTGTCAACACTTTCTGTAGTTTCAAGCCAAAAGCTTTGCAAAACAGAGACTTGTGATGAAGCCAGTCTCCAAGCAAACTAGCGTTTCGTTTCCCTCTGAGATCCTAAGGCACTGACACAATGGACCTGCATTACCAGATGCCATCTTACAGCTTTTGGGGGTACAGACAAATTATTTTAGATTCTGTGATAGAGGAGAATGCAGAATCACAGAATCAGCTAGGTCGGGAAGGACCTTGAAGATCATTTGGACCAACCGTTAACCCAGCACTGACAGTTCCCAACTGTAACAGATCCCTCAGCGCTGGGTCAACCCGACTCTTCAACCCCTCCGGGGATGGGGACTCTACCACCTCCCTGGAGAAGGTCCAGGACATAAAGATGATAATTTCATGCACATAAATTCCTACAGATCAGCTTAGGAGGTTGCCCTATCTCTCAGACTTTCTGCTCCTGAATTTGGGTGGAGGTTGTGGAACAGTCTGCTCTGCCTGAGTTTCCTGGCAGGAAACTACAAAAGTGTGTCTGTGCTGATGACTGTGTTGTGGAACAATAGCTGAGCTTATTTTAAACAAATGAGCTGGATTGTGGGTAGAGAGTGGCAATGAATGAAGAATGAACGTATGCCACGTGAAGTCCTATAGCTCTGTGCCCGATAGGTATAAAACATTACTGGGTTGGAGGATACCACTTCGCATCCCTGTTGGTTTTATGAGTGACCAGTGTCAGCAGGTACGTGGGCAAATCAGTGGAGAACTGAGCACCAGAATCTGGAAACATCTTTGTGATGAATTATTTCCCAGGTTGAGCATTGTGACTGAAAGTAGGATGAATTAGGGATCAAGGACTGACTGACTTGTTACATCAGAGATGTTTCACTGATTTCAATGCTTCTGAGCTTAGCAATGTCTGAGATGCTGTAGATAAACTGAGTATTGTCAGGGTACGGCACCAGTTATTGGAAGCTGGACATCTCTGCTGGGAAGATGTTAGTATGGTCCCTGGCGTGCTTTTGGCCTTGGCCAACTAGCATCTTCACAGACAATTTTAGTTGCAGCTTAGGGGTTAGCATGGACCCAGCATCATTGTGAACAGGGAATTTGGATGGTACCACCACATCATGAAGAATAAGGTGGTTTAATATTATGGATGAATCCAGGCCATGCATGTAGGCCTTAGTGTCATAGAACGGATTCTGGAACTGTTTTATTTTGTAGGAGAGATGAATTCTCTGAGTTTAGCAAGAGAAAAGTGTTGATTTCTGGCTGACTATAAATTACTGAGAGTTCAGTTCTGTTCCTACTTAGCCAACATACAATGAAGAGCCAAAGCCTTCTGCTGAAATAATAAATCTGCCTTTTCTGCATGTCCTGCTGTCTGTTGGTTTGTTTTTTTTTTTACTCCTTGGTTATGGTATTCATTTAGCCAATGCCTACTCCTTTTTAATTCTAGATCCCGAAGTTGATGCCAGCAGCTATGATCATCTCAGTAATATGGATTTCCTGTGTACAACGGAAAATGGTGAAAATGGGGATGAATTGTATCTCTGTTCCAACACGATAGAAGCTTATGCTAGAATAGGTATGAAAGCAATTTTTGTTTTTTAAATCGTTATTTTCCAATCACTTGCTACAGCTTATTTCTTCCAAATTCTGTTTTCAGTCTGAAGCAGTGGCATATAAAGTGGCCTGTCCATCATGCATGGTAGATCTAGCCAGGGTACCTAAACCTGTGCATTGTGGGGAAACAGATGAACAGTAGCTTGTGGTTATTGGGGGAAAATCTCTCTATTAATGGCTCCTTCTGCTTAATACTTCCTGTCTCAGCTTCTCCTTTCTCATGTTCTTTATTTCCTGAACAACAATTTACAAGAAAAACTTAATTTAACTCTTCAATTGCACTTGTACTGCAGAATTCTGTTAATGAGGGTAAGCTTGCAAGAGTTTTACTGTGAAATTTACTGCATTGTTACTGTGTTCCTTTTTTATCTTTTCCTTCTTGCTAGCTGAATTAGCAGAATATGTGCTCAAAGATCAGCAGGAGAAGCAGGTGGAAGACACTTTTGGTAAGATTTATGGGGCAAAGATTAATTTTCTCCATGACAGTGTTCTGGCTAACATCTGCACTGTACTTCATCCCCACAATTTGAACACTAGTAAGGTTTCTTTACATCTGGTATCCTCTTCTCCCCTGGGAACTGTGTGCCAGGATTTTATTGGTGAACTTTGAGGGTTTTCTGTATTTTTGCAGGCTTTTCTCAAAGATGGCAGTTTTTATCTCTGACCCAGTTGCTGATCACATCACCATGGCCATTGTGTATGCACAGCTTAACTGTCCAGTGCAGTACATGCCCTCAGTTAGCATCAGACTTCTGAGGACTTAGCATGTGTATAAACACAGTTCACACACACTTATTTCTGTCCAGACTTCTCACCCTGCTCAATGCAGCAACAGCATCATAAAGATGTAATAAATGATTACTTCATTTCCTTCTTTCAGTGCTTGGCCAGAGATAATTGCTTGGCTTTTGGTACTAAATAATTGTTTTGGTGGTGGCACAAACATAGCTGTTTATTATTTCAGAATATATATATATCTCAGTATGTGGCTGTTGGGAAATCCATAGAATCAGAAAAATTCACAGAATATCTGTATATCCTATTTTATGTTTGAGCAAAGTAATTTGAAATAGCTTACCAAAGGTCACTCCTTTCCTAGGACAATTCTGGCTACAGGAAGCTCACATGACTTTTAAAATGATTTTTTACTGCTTCCTGGTGTGTTTAGAATTTGGGGGGTTTTTTTGCATCTAATGCGAAAACTTATATTGGTTTTAGAGGAAACAAGATACACTAATAGTACTGGGTGACAGAATCTGCACTCAGAGCTCTGTGGACTTTCTAAATCATATCAATCTAGATATGTGTTTTATTGTGTGATTTTTATTTTTTTTTCTCTTTTCTTTGGAGCATATTTCATCTTTGCTGCCTGCTAGTGTGTTTCTCTTGCTTTTACCTCTTTCTATAATTTTTCTAGGTGAACAAAGGTTGACATTTGGCAATATTTCATGTTTTTAGCAGGGAACCTTATTTTGGATGAAATAGCTGCTGAAAACACTGAGAAATTTACTGACATAAAGATGCAGAAATGTCACAAACGAAGTAAGTGAAAAACAGTGAGAATCTGAAAGGCTGTAGTGTTTGAATTAAAGGGGGCTACAGGAAAGCTGGGGAAGGACTCTTTATCAGGGAGTATAGTGATAGGATGAAAGGCGAAGGTTTTAAACTGAAAGAGGGTAGATTTAGGTTAGTTTTAATAAAGACGACATTCTTTATAGTGAGCGTGGCGAGGCACTGGAACAGGTTGCCCAGAGAAGTTGTGACTTCCCCCTCCCTGGAAGCCCATGGCAGGGGGGTTGGAACTAGATGATCTTTAAGGTCCCTTCCAACCCAAACCAGTCTGTGATTCTACGAATTCTAAATTTTCGTTATGGTACTTTGGTTTTAACACAGTCTCAATGCATCTCTCATGTAGTTCTTCACTGATACAACCCGACATGCTTCCTCTGACTTGGCTCATCCTGTGTGGGCTGGAATTGAAAACAGCTTCCCCAAACATATTCTTTACAATTGACAGAATTTGTTGTTCTGTAACATGACATTAAGCATGTTATATTTCTTCCCTTTTTTTATCATCTGTGTGACAGTGTTAACTTTGTTTTCAGTGTATCTATAGCTTAGCAAGCATTAGCTGAATGATCCCCTCTTTAATAGCAAGAACAACAGCAAAAAATCTTTGGTTACTGGCAAAAAAATTTCACAGTCAAGGTGAAATAATATGAGGCTTTTCACATTCATGTTTCATACATTGGATCTGTACGGTTCTGAAACAGCTGAATTGAAACAGATAACACCCCTTCTTCTTTAAAAAGTTAAAACAAATTTCCATGACGGAAACTCAAAATTACCAAACTGGTTCAATTTTTGTCACTTACGATCACCTTTCTTTCTTTTAGCCTTCTTAGGCTCTGCAGAGAGTTGCTCTGGTGCTTCAGAACCCAAATACAAGAAAATTGGTGAGTTATCGGCTGAATAGGAAGAGATTATTCAACATGTATTGTCTCATGTTCCAAAGTCTCATCCTCTGTTAGGTACTGTAACTTACCTTCTAGGGAAAGTTGGCTTTCATAGATTTGGTGATACAGCATCATCGTGCATTTTCATGTTTCTAATTCCAGCAGAGTAGAAATCCATTGTAGAATCACATTCTTATACACCTCTGACTAATTCATGATGCAACAAATCCATGTCCTCTTATCAGTAGCTATCAAACTCTACATCTTAGGACCAACTACATGGTAGCCTGGGAACAGCTGGATCCTTCTGCTTCAAAAGCACATGTTCCTGACAGGTGATAGAAAATTAATTCTCTGGTATCTGCAGAGGCACAGTTGAACTTTTCTAAATCCACCCGAGAGAAGAAAACAAAACTGAAGAATTGAGTCAGTACCAAATTTTGAAATTTTTATCATGTACACCTTTTGTTTATGATGGGTAACATGACTCAGGCCATAGTTTGGTATTACCTGGGTTTGATCATCTTTGTTTCAAGTGTGACACCTGAAACATCCTAGTGAAAATAATAACAGTCAAGAGACAGCTTCTTGGCCCAGCCCATGCTATAGAGTCCTTTAAATCAAAGTAAGAATGGGAGAAAGGGAAACTTCTAGGTGTTGCATGCTGTTAACCATCGACAACACAGCAGGCAGGCTGTAACTTGTTCCCTAGGTGTAAACCAGTGCTAAAGCTCTTACCCAGCTGTAGCATAAATGGGCGTCTCAGGTATAGCTAAACCAGCAGAATACTCTTCCAAAATCCATGTGAGAACAATCACCTTTGGATTAATATATTATACTGTGTTCTGAAGTGATAGATGCATTACTGTATGCTAGCACACTTCCCAAGCCTCCTAAGGGCACCCAACTGTACCAAACCCTATGGGCTGTGTACAGGTCAGGGCGGGCAGCCAAACCCAGCGTGTAACGCAGGGAACCATCCGGAGTGCTTGGATCATGGCACTGCCCCTCAGCAAAACTCAGGCCAGCAATTGCTAAGGAACTGGCATAAACTTGATGAAAGTCAGAGAGAGCACACACACGCACTGTGACCGTGACCCAAGGTGGTTTTACAGTGTTTGTGCAGACTTCTGGGGGGTGCTTGAGCAGAATTAGCTGTGAAAAAAAAGTATATTTGCTGAATCTTGAAAGATAATCAGAATTTCTACTGAACTGATACCTGCTGTTTGTAGTTATTCATACACAGGTAAAGTTCCTGGCAGTTAGTAACCATTAAAGGTGGATTATCTTCTACCTGTTTAAATGTCTTTATAGATTTGGCACCTTTTGAAGCTGATGTTTATGCCACACTGAGAGTTTTCAATAAGGAAAATGGCACATCAATTCCTGATTAAAAAACAAACAAACAAAAATAAACCCCAAACGAGTAAAAATTTCTCACCCTACAGAACTTGCATTCCAGTCTACAGCATCATCACAGACCTAACAAGTGCTTTGTAAAGCTGCACCTGTCCTTTCCCGGGAAGTGCTCAGAGTATTATCATTGTTTCTACCTTACTTCACCCAGTGAAGGTGCTGAGGGAAAAAGAAAAAATATATATATATACACACATAAGACAGTATAAGTAGTGGGTACAAAAATCTAATTAACAGATAGATTAGCTACATGACAAAATCAGGAATTTATTTACCCCGTCATAAAAGTGTCACAGTATGATCCTGCAAAGGCAAATGCATTAACTCTTCAAAAGTGTAAGACTATCTACAGTAAAGAGGATAACGTGTACCGAAGTTCAGAGTGGTAAGCCAAAGATGAGAATCTTTCAAAGGAATTGAATGAAATTCAACTTTATATTTGCCCAACTGCTTGTGGGTAGCTGTAACAGTACCTAATCTTATCTGACCATCACAAGGCAACAATCCTTGGATAGGAAATTGCTTGGATAGGAAATTAATAGGAAATTAGGAATTTCACATGCTGTTTTACACACAAGCTGAAAAACACTCTTTAAAGTTTGTTTTTATACCACAGTAAAAATGAAAGATTCCTATAACAAAATGATTCCTGATAAACACTGTAAATACATCCCAACCTAAAGAGCCTGCATTCCAGTGTGCACTATAGTGGCACAAAACCTGCACGGGTTTGTAGCTCCTGATGAAACATTAGACTGCAGAAAGTGATGAAATAGAGACTTAATTATTGCTGCTTTAGAGGAGAGAGAAAAGAAAGCAGAACCATCTCTGAGAAGAAGCGTGTGGTAAAAACGAGCAGAGTAAATCAAAATAAGTAACTTGATTTGTAAAAAACTTTCAATAATCATACAATGCACATGAATCTCCCTCCCCATCTGTCCTCTTGGATAAAAACAAGTGCTGCTAGCAAGTTGCATCTTTTCAAACTCAGGTGTTTGTGACTGTTCTTTGGGAAACCCTCTTAACACAGATTAGTTATCCTTTCAAGCACTGTAGTGTCTAAGTAGGGTCAAGGTCCCCGGTGTATGGTACTTGGGCCTCCCTAATACTGTGTGATATTAAGGTAACACACCATGCTTGGGAAACACTACAGCAGTGTAAGACCTTGTTATGTCGTATGTGTCAATCATCCATCTGTAAGATCATTTATATCTAAATGTGTCTGAAGGTTTCTAGAAAGAAAACAGGCCAGGAAAGATGAAGAGAAACAAAATGAAGAGTGAACTTCAGAAGAAAGAAAGGGATCTACTGCGGAATTTCATAAATACATTTTGGATTTTCAGAACTGAGTAAATGTCAGAAAACTATTGTGAATTGTTCCTGCTTTTGAAATCAAAATACAACCGATCAGAATCAAGTGGTTTATGATATCTATTGAGACCTCTTCTTTGGCCCTCTTAACTTCTAGAAATGAAATAACTTTCTCCTTTCATTTTGCTTTTTTTTTTTTTTTGGTGAAATACAGCTTAATAAATAACAGGACCGAGTTATTTACTATATGCTAAACTAAATAATTACTTGTCTTAAAAACAGGAAATCACAAAATATTAATCAATGAACTTTGGTTTCGTTCCAATTTCTTTTTCATCCAGAGGTTTGTAATGAGCTGCAGGATAATTATATAGAATCACAGAATCCCAGGTTGGAAGGGAGCTCGAGGATCATCTGGTCCAACCTTTCTTGGCAAAAACACGGTGTAGGCAAGATGGCCCAGCACCCTGGCCAGCTGAATCTTTAACAGTGTCCAACACTGGGGAATCCAGCACTTCCCTGGGGACATTATTCCAGTGGCTGATTGTTCTCGTTGTGAAAAATTTTCCTCTTGTGTCCAACTGGAATAGCCCCAGGAGTCACTTGTACCCATCACCCCTCGTCTTTTCCACGTGACTCCTGGTAAAAAGGGAGTCCCCATCTTCTCTGTAGCCCCCCTTTAAATACAGGAGCACGGTGACAAGGTCTCCCCTCAGCCTTCTCTTCTCACGGCTGAACAGACCCAGGTCTCTCAGCCTTTCCTCACATGGTTTCCCAGCCCCTTAATCATCTTCGTGGCCCTCCTCTGGACCCTCTCCAGCCTGGCCACAGCATTTTTGCATAGCGGGGACCAAAACTGAACATGGTGCTCCAGGCGTGGCCTGACAAGCGCTGAGCAGAGTGGGATAACGATTTCTTTATCTCTGCTGCTGATGTTGTTGTTGATCCAACCCAGCACCCTGTTGATTTCCTTTGCTCATGGGGAGTTCGTTGTCCACCAGGACCCCCAGGTCCCTTTCCACAGCTCCCAGCCTGTGCTGCACTCCTGGATGATGTTTTCCCAGGTGCAAAACCTTACACTTGTCCTTGTTGAACTTCATAATATTCTTGTCAGCCTCTTCCAGCCCAGCCAGGTCTTCCTGCAGGGTGGCTCTCCCTTCCCCACCCAGTTTGGTATCATCAGCAAACTCCATGAGGGTACACCTGACCCCATCGCCCAGATCACTTATGAAGATACTGAACAGCGTTGGGCCCAGTATCGATCCCGGGGGACCCCACTCGTGGCAGGTTGCCAGTTTGCACCCCTTGTCTAGAGCAGAACACATCAGCTTCTCTAGGAGGAGGCTGTGGGGAACCGTATCGAAAGCCTCGGAGAAATCCCTTGCTCACCCCACATCAGCCACATCAACTATTTGCAATAGCAGAGTAAAATCTAGGTTGGAATTTTGTTCACAAAAACTGAGTACTAATCCAAGTGATGGGCTGTGTAGCCATCTTGCCTTCATCATGTTGTGTAGCAGAGGGTTCTCATGGTACACTGGTAAGTGCTAATAATAAAGACACAGTTCAGCACCTTTAACTGTTAAATCTATGCTGGAAAGGAACCAAAAAGCAGTGGGTTAAGTTAGAAGTCTTGAAGTATCTGATGCTAGCTGAAACAGCACAAAGTAGCAGAAGAAATTCTGTCACACCTGCAGAAACTCAGAGCTATGGCAGATTAAATTGCAAGCACTGCATCATCAAAAAACTTCCCAGTTTGGGTTCAGAGGGAGGATGCTTGGAGCTGCTTATACAAGCTGCATGATGTGCAATTATGTGAGAATGATGCAGTGCAAAGTATGGTCAAATTGATTCAGCTACATAATATTTACACATTTTCTCTGTTCTGGATCTCTGGTCCATACATTTACAGACTTTGCCTTAAGCACTTTTCCTTATGTTAACAGGATTTCTCTTTAGACTGCCAAAACCCAGTGGTCACTAAAAGCTGGGTAATCCCTTGTATTGGACATTCATTGTAGCTTTTAAGAGTTTTTGTTTAATGGATTCTATGGACCTCCTGATCTTACGAATTAAAGTTCATAAACTCTCCCCAGGAATATTTGTCCAGAAGCTGCCAGGAAGGATAAGTAGCTTCTAAAAAGCTTTTTCTTTCTTAGAAAACTTTAGAAACCAGGAGCCTTTAAAAATAGAAGAGTAATTATTCTGCACTCATTTCAGGATCTTCAGCACCTTTGATTCCAGAGTGTCTACCTGTCAGCATTATAGGGAACCAAGAGAATACAGGCTTTGCAGATCCTCCTCAGCAGATATTTAACTTTATTCTTGGAAATGGCACATCTGATGTTATAATATATCCAGGTAAGAGCAATAACCTTTTATGCACATAATAGGCAGAAATTACTGGAAAATCAGTGGTGTCAACAAAGTACAAAGTTCCCTTTTTTCAGTTAGTGATAGCTATGATAGACTGAAAACTATCATTTGTTTCTTGCCAGTGCTGAGTTCTTCCACAGCAACACCGATATCCCCAAGTTTTCCAGTTGGTTTGTGTGGTAAGTAGAAAATTAATTTTTAAATATACAGTACTTTGGGTTGGGGGAGGGAGCATATTTTTTCTACCCAAAGCTAATTCTCCCCTCCAGGCTTTACTTATACTGAACTTACAGAGGAAAATAAAAATTAGCGGCATTTCCTTCTTTGCATTGATCACTGGCTACTTGGTCCAGTCCAAAATACGGAGCAGATAAGGGGTTGTATCAGGTTGTATTAGCAGCCAGTCCCCTGCGTTTGCTGTGAAGTCCAGTTTCTGTAAGAAGTCTTGTCTAGTTAAAAGAGTACAAAAGTCCAGTGTGCTTGAGCACCATCAGAAGTCCAGGCTGTGCTGGTACTGGTATGCCCTAAACATCTTGGTGCTGGAAGCCAGACTGCAGTCAGCTCACCTGGAAGTCCCCAAACCAGAATGATGGTTTATTAACTAAACAATACAGAAGCCTAATATACAAAAAGGCTTCTAAAGAAATCAGAGCCTTGGTCAGGGTACAACAGTGTCACCTGTGGTAGAAAACTTCCCTCAGACGCTGTTCCTCCAGCCCTCAGAGAGCTGTTGGAACAGGGAGCTTGATTTCAGCGGTTACTCCGTTTCTGATCTGTGTGCCCTGCTGACAGCTGCCTGCAGCTTAGCACAAGTGGTTTGTTGCCCTCTGGTGGCTCCCACCACCCCAAATAGCAACATTTTAGGGTGGGGATTAAGAGCCAAATACACCTAAATTTAGCGAAGTATTTGTGAATGATATATCCTGTTTATGTGAATACACAGTACTAATAATTCGAATTGACTTGCAGCAGCACAACGGACGTAAGTCGCAAATCTCAGCATTCCAAATGCAGCAGAACAATTAGCACATAAGCTACCGAGCCAGTCTCTTTTCCTTTTTCCAGAACTGTTCACACATGATTGATTTGACCAGTGCTGCTTCCCATCTAAATGTCTTATTACAGCTTTTTTTTTTTTAGTTTTCCATTCTTTGTTTTTATTTAATAAAATAAAGACTAAACCAAACCCAGACGCTTCCATGAAAGGAGGCACGTTCCCTCTTTATTTTAATATCTTGAGTCATTTTTTCTTCTACAAGGGGGAGAGCTATTCCTGTATCAAAGGTATTCTTTCACTGGAAAAAGGACTTGCTTATTAAAAGTGTGTGGGTGCTTCCCTGCTAAAACCAACTCTGAACTCTAACCATTCCATCTGTTGCTGGCATGCAGGGTAGGAATTGATTCCCAGATCTCTGAACTTTAAGATTTTTAATTTTTTTTAAAACGCATTCTACATCAAGATGAAGCAAATATTGTGGTAATAAATACATTTGTACAAAACCAGGGAGGTGAGCCTGTTTTGTTTTGGGTTTTTTTTCCACATCTCTGCTGAGTGTGGATACCACAAGACTATTGATGAGGTTGGGGCTGTTACAGTCTCTGTCAATTTAAATTCTGTCCGGTGTCTGCAAAGCTTTTCCTACCAAAAGTTTTGTCAAAACTGATACTCTTTGTGTGTGGCAGACACTGCTCATCTGACCAAGTGCAAAAGTCTGCAGTAGTTTGAAAACAGGCAAAAGGAAAGAAAACAGGGCAGCGACAGTCCTTTGTCAGGAAGGGTAATGGATAAATTCTGTTACCAATAGCCACTTCTCTGTCTTCCATCCCTCATGCTTTGTTACAAGGTGTAGAATAACAAAAGGAAGCTATTGCTTTTGATTACATGAAGAAGTCCTATGTGAGCATGTGAATTTATGCAAAGTACTTGCCATCTGAAAAGAACAGTGGCCGTCACCTTGTTATGATAGGTCTGCTTCCCACAACTGTAAGAGCAGCTGTCGTCTTGTTTGATGTCATACTGCCTGCAGCAGTTCATGTCAGCTCAATTGTCCTTGTGCGAGGATTTTTATTTTTTTTTCTTTCCTTTGTAAAATGAAATATCTGTTTCTCTGGATGATATATATGTTGCAATGAACTTGCAGATTTGCATTACTCTTAATGTTTAAATTAGTAAAGCTGAATAGATGACTACCTAGGTGTCTTCCTCAAGTATATTGTTGTTTCTCCAGGTTTAGAAATGTTCAAAGAAGTCCGAGTTCCCATATTTCCTTCTGAAGAACCTTTCAAAAGACCAAGTGAGTTTAGATCTCTTGAACTTCAAACTTCCAGTATTTTTTTTGCTAATTTTTCTGTGCTTCCTTCCATACAGAAAAGCTACTTGTAGGAAATGTCATTCAATGATTTTTGAAGCTATGCCAAGTGTCTGAGCACAATTCCCGTTTTTAAGATGTTAGACTTGTCTACCTTTAGATATCTAGCTGTAGTACCTACTTAGAAGGTCAGTGTACTCAGTTGGTTTTGTCATATGTGTAGATACCTCCAAAATTATTCAATTCATTCTGAAAGTGTCTGTTGTGCCTGCACTCCTAATTCAATTCCATGCAGTCACTTGGGATAAATCCAGATCTACATGCTTTATGGGAACTGATGTATTTTGACCATATTACAATTATGCAACTAAACCACCATGAGGCAATGTTGTAATTTGTGGACTGGTTTCTTCAGTTCGTGTGTGCTTTTTATTTCTCTAGAGCCAGTGGAAGCTTTCCGTATATCACTGATGGATTATTTCCGAGATGTGTGCAAATCTGTGGCCATGGAGCGTGAAGTAACTCTTGATCACCTGTTCATTGATGGGACACTTGTTCAAAGCCAAACTGAAACTAAGCCTGGGAAGAATAGTATAAAAGCCATGGAAAAGGAGTTTGTAACTTGCAGTCTGCAAGGGAAGGAAAAGGCAGCTCTTAAAAGAAGTCAAATATTTCAAATCCCAGGAGGTAAAGACTTAGAGACTAAAGTGATTGTGGTGCTGGGAAAAGCAGGAATGGGCAAAAGTATTCTTGTTCAGAAGATCTGCCAGGACTGGTCCAATGGAGAGTATTCTCAGTTTGAATTTGTATTTTGGTTTGACTGCAAACAATTAAGCTTGCCTGAGAAGCGATATAGCCTGAAGGATCTGCTTCTTGAATTTTTTGTAAAACCTCAAGAGGGAAGCAAAGAGGTCTTTGAGTATATATTGCAAAATCCTGCTAAAGTCCTTCTGATTTTTGATGGTTTTGAAGGGTTGCATGATCATGAGACTTTTCCTCGTTGCTCGGCCAGTCAGCCTGAGAACGACTTGTGCAGTATAAAGGAGCTGCTTTCAGGACTCGTCCAAAAAAAGATGCTTAATGGTTGTACTTTATTATTTACAGCAAGACCAAAAGACAAGGTGTACCAGTATGTGTCCAAAGTGGATAAGACTATTGAAATAGTAGGATTTTCCCCTCAGCAGAGAGACTTGTACATAACCAAATACTTCGAAGGATTACCCTACTGTGATAATGCACTGAAATTAATCAAAGAGTGTGAGTACTTGTTCAGTCATTGTTACAGCCCTGTTATGTGTAGACTTGTTTGTTTTCTCTGTGAGACAGTACTTGAAATGGGAGACAAAAGCCTTCCTTCAACTCTTACTACAATCTTCCTGAGATTTGTTCAGCAAAAGATAATACCTATGCAAACAGATGTTACAGCCATGCAAAATCAAGAGAGTCTTGCTACACTAGCCCATATAGCCTGGTATCTTGGAGAAAAACACCAAAGTGCCATGAAAAGTGATCTTCTTCCTTCTAAGGAAGTTAAAGAGTTTGCTCTGAAATACGGATTTTTCCTGCCATTTGCATTCCCCAGACATTCAGATAGTGGCAAAGAGGAATTTGGGAGCACGTTCTCTGATTTTGTCATTCAGAATTTCTTGGGTGCGCTTCACCTTACGTTAGCAGAAGAGATCAAGGATAAAAGTTTAACAAAGTACCTGTCTTTTCCATTCAAGAAGAAAAAACGTTATAACTGGTTAGATTTAGTGCCTCGATTTTTGGCTGGATTGTTGTTCCTCCAGGATGACCCCTACTTCTACTCCCTTTCAAATAAGGATGGGAAACAATCAACCAAGAAGCAGAAAACACTCTTGAAATATATTAGAAAGCTGCAGATAGACGAGCTCTGTCCGGAGAGGTTACTCGAGATTTTGCATTGTATTTATGAAACACAAAGCGATTCTCTTTTGCAGCATGTGGCCTTAAGGCTCAAGCCAGACCTGTCTTTTCTGGGCATAGCTCTTGCACCACCTGATGTCCATGTACTGCACTCTATTTTAAAAAGGTCAAGAAAAGAGTTTTCCTTGGATTTGAGAAACAGCAGCATTGACATGCAAGGGCTAAAAGACTTGGTTGGCCTAAAGAATGTGGCATCATTCAGGTTGGTCATTCTTTGTAGATAGTAGTGTCTTTCGTGGGACTGTATGTAGATGACACTTCGGTGCAACAACAGCAATCATATCTGTTGATTTCATGTGTTTTGTCACTTCACAGGGCCTCCCTCAGCGATACAGTCAGGCTCTGGAAATCTTTACAACAGACAAAAGACTACGAACTGCTGAGAGCATCAACAGAGAAATTTGTTCTTGATCCTTTTAAGGCAAAGACAATGAAAGACATCAGCGACCTTTCAGACATCGTAGAGATGCAGGAGAAGATGGCTAATTGGTAGGCTCCTTTATGGTCAAAAGTCCTTTTGTTATATTAGCAATTTAAGAAAATGGGTGTTCGCTGACACTGCTGGAGAATGGAGCCCTGCTTGTCCAAAGAAGAAGTAACTAAGGCAGTGCAAGCTGTTCTGTTATCTCAGAGTGTTCTCCTACCCCAATGTGTGGTGGTTGTCATGGCAGGGAGGAGCAACGATAGCACCACGCAGATTGTTTATCAAAACTATCAAAATAGAAAAGCTAGCTGTCATTTTTTTTCTTCAGATTTCTTTTTAATCTCTGAGTATACTATCTTCAAATTGCTTTCAGTTACATAACTTGGGCTAACGGATTTTCCCCCCCTGTAGCACCTGGGCCATAAATGAAGGCTTGTTTTGCACTGGACACAAATGACCTGAGTCAGTGCTTTAGGTCAGGAGGGAAAAGCTCGTGTTATGTGATCTATAAACCCTGTGTCTCATCCCTGCTCGTGATGTGGCTGGAGGATTACTTGCAATTCAAAGCATGCATAAATAAAGTATTTTGGTTGGTTTTTTTTAAATCAAAATGGTGACTTCCGTTTTAACATGGGCAAGGTATTTTGATTAAAATACACACAAAATAAGGTTTGTATTTGACAGAAAATACTCGATTTAGAAGCATATATTTTTAAGTTTTATTGGAAAAAGAGCAAACGTTTGCACATTGAAAGGCAGTTATCGGATTGAAATCAATCAGATGAAGAAAGGTTGGAGCAGAAGTTATTCTGAAGTTTCCTGGTTCCTCAGTTAATGCAGCAGTGGTTTATCTCCTATAAAAGTTTACTAAGAAATTATTTCTAAATCAATATTTTGGTTACTAAAATATTTACTATACTCTGGTTCTACTGTGATTTATTCAGTGTGCAAGATGCATCTGGTTGCAGCAGCTATGAAATTCCAGCCATCAAAAACCTCAGAAAACTAGAATTTGCGTAAGTGATGTATCTGTTGATCGATATATGATTACTTTTAAGACTAGGAAGAGTCAGTGATATTAGCTACAGTCATTAAACTGATGTATGGTGAGTTTATGGTAAAGCATAAAGTAAATTGTGTTTATTGCTATTTTGCTTTTTTTGACTAGATTTAATAAGTCGTGAACAAAACTTTAAAAATATAATTTCTGACTACTGCGGTGACACACATCAACAGGGTTTTGTAAATTTTGCTTGATTTTATTACAGCTTAGCTCCCTATCACCAGATCTAGGTCTTGTGCCACAGGGTATGAAATATCTTGATCCAACTACCTGGGAAATATTTTTTCCCCAGAAATGTTCATCTTTTTATCTAAGTCTTCTGATGTAATTTTCTGCCCTATCAGAACTTAGGCTATGAGAAAATAAGGTCAGATAATGCCTCCAAAATAAAATACTTAGCTCTGTTTTCCTGATCATAGAATCACAGAATCCCAGGTTGGAAGGGAGCTCGAGGATCATCTGGTCCAACCTTTCTTGGCAAAAACACGGTGTAGGCAAGATGGCCCAGCACCCTGGCCAGCTGAATCTTTAACAGTGTCCAACACTGGGGAATCCAGCACTTCCCTGGGGACATTATTCCAGTGGCTGATTGTTCTCGTTGTGAAAAATTTTCCTCTTGTGTCCAACTGGAATAGCCCCAGGAGTCACTTGTACCCATCACCCCTCGTCTTTTCCACGTGACTCCTGGTAAAAAGGGAGTCCCCATCTTCTCTGTAGCCCCCCTTTAAATACAGGAACACGGTGACAAGGTCTCCCCTCAGCCTTCTCTTCTCACGGCTGAACAGACCCAGGTCTCTCAGCCTTCCCTCACACGGCTTCCCAGCCCCTCGATCATCTTCGTGGCCCTCCTCTGGACCCTCTCCAGCCTGGCCACAGCATTTTTGCATAGCGGGGACCAAAACTGAACATGGTGCTCCAGGCGTGGCCTGACAAGCGCTGAGCAGAGTGGGATAACGATTTCTTTATCTCTGCTGCTGATGTTGTTGTTGATCCAACCCAGCACCCTGTTGATTTCCTTTGCTCATGGGGAGTTCGTTGTCCACCAGGACCCCCAGGTCCCTTTCCACAGCTCCCAGCCTGTGCTGCACTCCTGGATGATGTTTTCCCAGATGCAAAACCTTACACTTGTCCTTGTTGAACTTCATAATATTCTTGTCAGCCTCTTCCAGCCCAGCCAGGTCTTCCTGCAGGGTGGCTCTCCCTTCCCCACCCAGTTTGGTATCATCAGCAAACTCCATGAGGGTACACCTGACCCCATCGCCCAGATCACTTATGAAGATACTGAACAGCGTTGGGCCCAGTATCGATCCCGGGGGACCCCACTCGTGGCAGGTTGCCAGTTTGCAAAGGAGCTCTTTACCCCCACCCACCCACAGACCCCTTGTCTAGAGCAGAACACATCAGCTGCTCTGGGAGGAGGCTGAGGGAAGGAAGATCAACCTGAACATACTGACTTTAAAAATGAGGTGTAGTAATGTTTCTTTATTCTCAACAACTGTAAGCAGCCTCCGAAGACATTGTATTGCTTAAAATATCCTGCCATAGTGTGTGAATGCATTTGGTCAGAAACTGTACCAGTGCAGTGGAGAACTTTCATCAGGTCTTCATCTGTTTCCTGCTCTTCACATCTGACCCAGTGTGGAACTGCTATGCTACTTTCTCTTCTTGTTTCCTCTCCAACTTTCCCTTTATTTTACATTTTTGGTTAAAATTTCTGATTCTTTTTATTAGGCTGAACTTTGTTTTGTACCAAGGAAACTTCAAATAAGAGGTTAGCATCTGAGGGACAAATGCTTGTAACTGGAATATTAATGTTCAATTTATGCTTTAAGCTGCAGTAACATATTGATCTTAAGTTATTCTAAACTGTTAATAGTTGGGAGGAAAAAAATTTTTTTTTTCATCTGAGTTATCAAGATTATAATACTTAGAATGAAAAAGCTGAAAAACATAGAAAAATAGAGAAATACAGGAATCTAAAAAAATGAGATGAGTTTTGCCGAGAAAAAAAAGGGACAAATGCCTGTACAGCTGCTCTGTGCAAGCAGCTCTGCTCTGTCTTACCTTAGCCTTGTGGGCTTCTCATCCGGAGGCTTCAAAGCAGAAATCCTTGCTGCAGATTGTTGGGAATCTGCTTCTGAGGAGCGTAAACTAGCCTGCCTTTAGGGTTGCAGGGGGACAACTTAAAAATTCATAAATTTTGATGTTTCTGAGCATGTGAAAAAACTGCTGCATGACTATATTTATTTTCTTCCAGACTGGGTCCAGTGTGTGGCCTTCAGGGATTCCTGAAACTCGTGGAAATTCTTGCAGCATTTCCATCACTTCAGCATTTAGAGTGAGTAATGCAAAGATTAACTTTGCGAATGCTGCTCCTCAGCAGCCCTTGATGATGGGGGAGCTCATGTACCCAAGAAACATTTTGTTTTCCAACAAGACTACTTGCTTTGCAGACTGAACAACAAAAACATTCAGAGAAAAGAACAGCAGACTAAAAGCTAGGGCTCTTCATCCTCCCTTACAACACTTGATAGTGGTTTGGTCAATACCCCTTCAGCCACTTTCCTCTGTGTTCCACAGGGGTTAAAACCTGTGGGAAGGGTTTACTACAGAGCCCCACTGGGTGCCCCTTCTTGCCACGACACTGATCAAGACTGCCTGTGGATTACTTATGCCTTCGTTCAAGGTCCGTAACGTGCCCAAACACCAGGCTCCCTTGTGACAAGGTTTTTGAGGGACTTACAGTCATGTCTGCCCCAGGAGACAACAGTCTCCCTCCTGAAACAGCAGCAGTGTTAAATTTGGGGGTTAACCTGAGTATTTGTGCCGGTGCTGTGCACCCCCTGATGTCAACAAACATCCTGAACTTCCGGTAGAACTTGTAAGAGATTGAGTTTTGTGGCTTTGATTCGTATAAAAGACATAAAAAAGCCATACTCAGCCAGTACCTGGTTTTGTTCTGCCCACATATTTTGACAAAGTCTTTGTCCCTTCCTTTACCAGGAACAGTATTAGAAATAGGGTTATTAGAACTCCAGTTACTGTTTGTTCTCTTGTATCCATGACAGACCAGCTGTCTCTGAATTTTAATTTTCTTTAAGATAGAAACAATTGTAGCAACAGTAGTCAATATTCTGCTGTCATCTCCGTGGGAAGATGACTAGGGTTTGAGAGGGCCATTGGCATTACTGGCTCAGCCCACTGCCTGTTCGTCTCTATGTATCTGGCCTTTTCATGGTATTTGGGGAAAACAATAAAGCTCCAAAATTGGAATGAGTCCGATGAATCCCAGTGTTGTCTGTCAGATTAGAAGGGGATCCAGTATCTAAAATTATGACTATCTAAAACTCTTTCCATCTGGATGCCTGAATGAGGAAAAACTTCATTTCTAGTACTCCTTATCTGGAGAAGGAGCTGCTTAGGCAGGAATTTGGAGCATCTGCTGGATTTTGTCATTTCTGTATTTCTGTGTGCACAGGAAATCTCATTTCAGCATAGCTGGAACACAGCTATTTCATAACTATTTTAATAATCTTGCATATCAAAGGAAATGGGTCAAGCCATCCAACTAGTAAAAAAAACTCTCAGGCTATAAATTTGGGAAGCAGAAAACTGCTTATTAGACAAGCTGTGATTTGTGTGATGCTTCTTGCTGATTGAGGCTACTGCAGAGAAGGAGCTTCTCAAGATAGATAGAGTGGTCTCAGGTGAATAAACCACAAAAATTTAGATTAAAAGGAAGCTAATTCTCTCTTTGTCGTCACCCAGCCTTGATGCTCTGAGTGAAAATGGCATAGGAGATGAAGGAGCAGAGAGTCTATCTGAAGTCTTTCCAACCCTGACATCACTGGAAACATTAAAGTAAGTGCAAGGTTAACAGTTCTGGGAAATTTTGAAAAGAAATAAATTAGACCTAGAGCTTTAAGGGACTGTGTGTTAACAGTTATGGGCACAAATAACCTATAGGCATGGAAGACCTATGAGTCTGTGGACATACTTAATCCGTACAGTCATTAGAGAAACAGGCTAATCCTATGGCATTTCCTCATTTTCCTTCACGGGCCATAATTTGTCTTTTTCACTGCATTTGGTCTTAACAGACTGTCCAAATTATATAAAAAAAAAGACATCAAAAATTCATTTTCCCCACATTGCAATAAATTAGAATGTATGTGTTCAACTAACAAAGCAATCTCACTTACTGTAGCTTATCACAGAATAAGATAACAGATGTGGGTGCGGAGAAACTAGCTACAGCTCTTCCTTTCTTGTCTTCATTAAAGACACTAAGGTAAGTAGTTGTATCCTGTTCAGTTGTTTTATACAACATACTGTGCTATCTCTGTCAGAAATTACTGAACATCGAACAAATATGTACAATGTGCAGCAGCCAAATTTTTTACTTCATTCTTGCATAAAGCCTTTAGAGAGGAATGCATGACCCAGTGTAGACATACATAACAATATCTCAGAATATAATGAGGACTGTACTGATTTTTAATAATAATTTCCCATAATACCCACTTATGAATAATACCCTGTACAAACGTGCACCCAGGGGCATGATCTACCGCAAGCTTATGCAGAGCTTGCTCAGCACAGTGCTAAGTCCTCAGCCAGAACGAGGTGGTGTTTGCTGATGTGGGACCAGTGGTCCATCCCACTTCACTGAAATGTCTGGCATAGGCCTGAGTGACATGTCTCAGCAGGGAATGCAAGAAACCATGGTGTGCAATTCTGGAATAACTTGCTCCCGTGGAAATCTTTTGAATGCTGTGCCCCAGGTCTTCGAACTTCTTATTTTCTTGCAGATTTTTAATTTGATCTAATGTAGACAGAAATGTTCTTTTTATTCATTAATAATCTAGACTTATTTTTGCTGTAGCTGTGTTGGCTGAAGGAGGCATGTGGCCTTACTTGATGCAGAAAAGAGGAAACCGTTTTAAATATTAACTGCAAATAGATAAGGATAAATTGGAAGTTAAGATACACCAAAAACTCCTTGATCTAATATATAGTCTGCTTACATTATCCATTGTTTAGTTGTGACTATACCGGTTTGGTTTTCCACAGCTTATACAATAATAGCATTTGTGATTTTGGAGCAGAAAATCTTGCGAAAGTTCTTCCTGCGATGGCATCTTTAAGAGTGCTAGAGTGAGTATGCAAACTTTTGAGATGGCCCAGGAAAGCTTACTTCCTTGGATACTGAAAATTCAAATCTTCTGTGCTTGGGGTAGAGGGGAGAGAAATTGGGGAAGAAAATTTCAGGGAAATTTCACAGGGAAAATGTGCTTATGCAGAGTTCAGATAGTGGCTAAAAAGGATTAAGGAGCAGTTCACCATAAAAAAAAAAGAAAAATCATTTTTAAGATGGGAGAAAAGGGTCATGGGGAGTTGGAGAAGGACCTCAGGTACATAGAATAAGGAATCCGTCATATGAACTAACTTAATAAACTTCATGTTTGACCTTTTGAGTATTTTATTACAGGTGTTTTGAATCAAGGATTTATTTTGTTTTGTTTATTTTCTTCCCCCATCTGCAGATAAGCCCGTATAGTATTTTTGATTTTGCATGGAACGTTTGATTACACAGCTAGGTGATGTGATCTGGATTAACAAATTTTTTTTTTTCCTCAGTGTTCAGTATAACAAAATAACTGGTGTGGGAGCCCAGCAGCTGACTGACAGCCTACGAAAATGTCCCCATATAAAGAACTTGGTGTAAGTCTCTTGATATGATGTTCGCTGTATCTTCATTCTGTAAATTGGGTTAGAATTCATGCTAAAACTGTCATCTTAAATAAAATATAAATATATAAATATATATCCTTTTATTTATATATATCCTTTATAAGAGGCACAAAAAATGACATCACCAAAATACAAAGGTAGTAAAAAAAGTAAAAAGTAAAAAAATGTCAAAAATGTTGACTCTGTTTTCAGCTGCATTAATTCCCAATCATCCCAGGTGAGCAAGTTTGTCCTGCCTTAAGCACAGTTTACACTGAGCCCCTCTGTTTATCTTTCACCCTCCCAGAGCACCTGACCTACTCTCTGATGCAGGACTTGTATCTGAGGGATAAACAACCAGCAGCCATCATTATTAGTTAAATAGACTGAAGCTGCCAGTACACATTCAGGGGAAAGGAGTTTGACAGAAAAATAAAGAACAGTTATGGAGGCAGGACTGTAGTGTGTCCTGCATCCAGAGTCAGCCCGGTTGTGGAGGAGTGAACTGCTTTCTTCTAAATGAAAAGGCATTTTCATTTGTTCCATAGCTTAAATACTTTTACAGGATGATATTCAAAAGGGAAAGGCAACTTGTTTTAAAAAAACAAAACAAAACAAACCCACAAAAAAACCCCAAAACACAAACGTACCAAACATACCCGAAAAACCATGTGAAGCAAATTACGCTTCTTAAAATCTCTTTCCTTTCTCAATTTGCCCTTACAGGATGTGGAATCCCACCATTCCCTATGGAGTTCTTGAACACCTTCAGCAGCTGGACTCTAGGATCAGTGTGTAGATTTAGATGTTCCCATGAAGGTAACGTAAACCCTGGCTCCCTGAAACAACAGGATTTGTTTCTGTGCCAGCTCTTGGTTCTGGTCTCACTGGCAGCAGGCACAGTAACAGCATCAATGTGTTCATGGCTAAGTAAAGAGAAGTTGCCCTGGATTGGCACAGATAATATCTCATCGGGGCCCCTTTCCCCCCACTCACTGTGCATCCCCCATCTCCCTGGCACCAGTGCTAGCGAACTGCAGGAGCTGCATCAACAGGAGTGGACTTGCAGGGCTCCGCGCTCAGCCCAGTGCAGTGCCTGCAGCTGGCCTGCTTACCTTCTCTTTTTTGTTGCGGGAAACTAAATAGCTCTGTGTACTTCATGTTTAATACATGAGTTCTGTACCCCTTAGAGATTGCATTGTGTTCATATTTAGTAAGTCCTTTCACTTTTCCTTTGTTTAATACAAATCCTTAGCAGCTGCTTGTCTCGCTGTGAAGCTGTGCCTATACTGTACTCGGAGCAAACCATTGGTTCCTACAGTCCTTGTTCTCAGTCTGTTTTGCGTGGTTTAGCCACTGGCAGCCACTTTTACTTCATTGATTCTGCCTGCAGAGTTTCGAGGATCCTTGAAATAATTGCATTGTTAGCAATTTGCTAACAGTTTGATGATGGTCACAGGGATCTGACTGCCCTCATGCTCCTGGACTGAAGGAGCTCCAGCAGACATGGGAAGTTAGGGTCTTGGGTAGGATTTCTGCTCCCAATTTTCTGCCATGTGCTTCCTCTTGCTTTTTTAAAAAAAAAAAAAAAAAAAAAAAACAAAAACACAGGATGCATCAGTGAAATGATCCCAGTGAAGAATGAGAAGCCAGAGTCAAGCCAGACACCAGATGCCCTCCAGTTTTCTTCGGATGGCAAAACCACACTGCGGTGATGGCCAGCTGCTTGAGCTGCGGTTTGAATCACCCTGGCGATGGCTGCAGTTGCTGTGGCTCCCTAAACCATGAAGCGAGCCAAGCTTTTGCATGACTCTTGCTCTCAGTGCACTAATCACCTGATGGGACAGAGCTATAGATATGGCACTAATCAGGCTACAGGCTGTGGAAGACCCAGGTGCTGTTCCAGCTCCGCAGACTGGCTTTATATAGCAGCAGTGAAAAAATTGTAGTGATTCTTATTAGCCTACAGTACGACTAACTCTTTGTAAGAAGACATTAGGGGTACAAACACTGCCAGGAAACCTTAGAAAAGCAAAGCTGTCTCTAATCTCCTGTATCTGTCATCCAAGGGGAGCACATGTAAGAGTCTCCGAGCATATAGGTCAGCTCCCAGATGTCCCTGGTTTTCCTCTGGACAGTGGTAGAGAGCTCTGCTCTGTCAAAGTCGGTGATTCTTGGGCACTGGCCAGCTTTCACACCAAGCAAAAGATGTGTTTAATGCACCTCTGCCCTTTGCATCTCCCTGCACTGCTGTTCTCTCATGTCTGAGGCACATGCCTTTGGCACCACAGCAGAGCAGTATCTGAGTATGTGAGGAAAAGTTCTTCATTAGCACTGAGGATAAGTAGCAGCAGGAGGTCTGGATCCTGTCTCTCAGACTTGAAATATCCAGCATCTACCAGTCACTGTTGTGTTTTCAGAGCACATCAAATATATAGTTTTGGTGATGTTAATGGTGATTAAGCTGATGGGCATACATCTAATGTTCTGTTTTCATCATTTCACAGGTAACATAAAGAAGAGAGGAAGGTGTCCTCTGTATTTTGTTATTTTCCTGCTGCTTTATGAATTGGTGGCTGGTTTTCATGACAGTGGCAAAATGAAAAAAAAAAAAAAGCCACATTTAAGCTTCTGAGTGATGCTTGAAGTGGGTGGATGATGGAGTTCAAATTTTTTTAAGGGTCATTTAAAATGCTATTCAAAGACCCAGTTGTGTTTCTACTGAAGTGATAAAGAGTTAAGCAACATCAAGTTTTAAAGATGAAAAGAGCATCTGGATATTGTGATCACCATTAAAGGTGACCAGGAATTACCAGGATATTGACAGTACAAAATTCCATCATCAATCCATCGAAGAGTAGACTGCAAGCTGCTGGACCTGCGACATTTGAAGTAGTGACAGACCAAATCTAATTGTTTCATGGTGCAAGTGGTAACTGCGATCAAATTCAGTTTGATTGTTTTTGGACTTACAAAGCTCAGTGTTACAGATTTCACCTGTCTGTAAGTAAGAATTACCAGTCTTAGAAAACAGTGTGATACTGTAAAATTATCTGTGATAATCTAGAAGTGGCTCTTGATGCTAATCACCAATGCTGTCTTAAGGGATAGAAAGATACTTTCCATCACTCTTGTGTTATAAAATCCTTAAAAAAGATTGGGGAAAAAAAAAAAAGGAAGAAAGAAGAAAAGAACTAAAACGGAAAACTGGTAAGAATTTTTGTGACATTATCACAGAAATTCAAATGCATACAAATAGCTTCAGTTTATTGCACAAAAATCTTCGAAGTGACAATCTTCAGAGGTTTTTACTGTCTCAGATGAGAACTTTAAATTCACATACCTGGACTGGGATTTAGTTTTTCACTTGCAAGTGGCAGTATAAGTGTACAAGCATCGATTTTCTACTTCACAGTGAAATCACTGTGTGTGGTTTATGTGGCCTTCTTTTACAGAGTTATGAATAACTAGGCAATGGCAGACTATAACATATTTCAAAGCATTATCATGGGTCTGTGCTGCTGGTCTCAGTGATATGTGGGCCAAATATTGGTCCTGCTGACTGCAATAGCAGAACAATTGTCGTCTTTTTTCTTTTATTTCAGCTCTGTGAACATGGAGAGAATTTATAATGCTACCGAGACAGTTGTCAGGACTAGCATTCTGGCTCCCTGTCCAGATACAGTCTGTAGCCACAAAAAGGGATGGACAAAGTTAGGAATACTCAATATGCCACAAATTAGGAAGAGAGATCTTTACTTCATGGTTAGCTCAGGGTCAGCTCAACAACCTCTTTGAATTTTCTACTAGGAAGCACTGACAATACTGACCCAAGGATCTACGCAGACTAGAATCTCTCAAATAACCTCTCAAATACTCTGTTACTTGGCTTTTAAAAAGTCCCCAATTTAAACATTTCAAAACCACAATATTTATGTTCTTTCCAGCAAATAATACTTTGCTAAAACTTCAGTGCCTGCTGAATCTTGACAGCAGGAATGGAGAGTGGAAAAGTTAAAGAAAGAAAGAAGGATGGAAAGAAGGTCTGGTTTGTTGTTTCTGTTAATCAAAGGAAAGTGGGGAACTGAACATAGTATGTGAATGAAATGGTACAAGAGAGCAAGGTGGAAAAACTACAGAGAATATGATTATAACTAGAAAGTGGTATTTTTCTTAACTATCTGCATGGTTCTTCTCTCTAGCCAAACTCTAGCCAGAGTAATGGAAAAAAAAAAAAAAAATCTCATTTACAATCCCCTCTTCCAGCTGCTTGAACGGGAGGTAGTTTGAGCCAAATCTCGTGTGATATTCCCATCAGCCTGCGGCACTCCAGCCATGCAGATCCATGGTGAACCCTTGTCTTGGTTTCCCTTAACTAAGCTTTGGATGACAAATGCCCCTTTAGGAACATAATTCTGCAGCTACACTTCACTGTGACTAAACCTGAGAATGTGCTAAATATTACACAGGCAGATGATGCTATAGGACCCTGTCTGGACTGATAAAATCATGTTTGGTATATACTGCTGTTCTCTTTCTATGAGTTAGTGGGAGATGTATGTTTATAATGTACAGATTGTAAATTGTGATACAGTGTCTTGGTTGTCTTGATGCATCTTTTTTAAAGTATTAATAAAAGTGAGCATTCCTTTTTACAGAAGCTTGTAGTACCTGTTGAAAATTATTTTGATTTTTCTCTCAGGAGCACTATGAAACCACTGCTGTCTTCTGAACCTAATGATGTGCTCAGGGCTTTGCACTGTAGGTTAACGGAAAGCACTGTGTGTGAGGGAGACAGGTTGGTCCTGCTGGCACTTGCCAGTTCACTGGTCTGGAAATGGAGAAATAATTCTTTCTTAACAGGCAATGAGATCTTGAAATGCCAACTACAGACTGTAAATCCAGAATTAGAAAATATGAAGGTGCTGACTGAAGCCACCTGCTAATAACAACAAAAAGGTCTTTTTCATCCTTTCAGACTTTTTGCAGTTTAAAAGTTCTAAAATTAATCATGGTTCAAAGTCTGGCTATTCTGTGGCATAGGGCTCATCCAAAATGCTTTTGTCAAATGAGTGCCTTATGTATGGAGGACTGAATTCACTGGCTACCCTAAAAAAGCTGTTCTGATCAAATCTGGGTTCTAAACATCTTTCAGGATGAGAAAAATGCTACTCTCTTTATGCCCATGATCTTTTTGTTGTCAAAGAAGCCTTGATAAAAGGCCAAAGTTTGTGTTACGATGGTAGTCAGATCCTGTCATCTGAGTACTCTGCCCATGGTTTAAATGTATGAAGCTGAGCTGTTCTGAGAAATCAGAAATCTTGATCTAAGATTCAAAATCTCCAAAGTTAATAACTTGGTAGAATTTGTATTGCTTGATCTGTGCATCGTGTGGCATAAACCCACTGCAGGGAAATGATTACGGACAAGTAGATGCTGCAGTAAGTACCTATAGTGACAATTGAACCATGTTCTTAAAATGGCTTACATGTGACCCTGAAAAATTAGTGTAAGCCGTCTCAGTCAACACTATGAGTTTCTAATTATACAGGCAGCAGGAATGCTGCCTTCAGTAGCAAAATTCAGCCTTTCTTGTGTTGGGCATGTGAACACAAACTTAGCAAGTTTTTCAAATTGTCTAGTCTTTATATAGGTGCCTGCATGGGGATTTAGTTCCCTATCTTCACATGTTAGAATATTACGCCCTAAGTGACTCCATCCCTGAATTGCAGGCCAGGGGGAATGTATGGAACAAAGCACTTGTGTTTTAAGGCCCCAAACTGTATCTGATGGAACCTCTCTTGGAGAAAAGCTACTTAGTTCAGTGACAGCGCTTCATGTCTCGCAGGAGCAGCTGAAAATTGCATTTGGAGCACAGAATTTTGGGGACTGGGAGCTAATTTCTACTGCACCGGGAGTTAAAAAATGCCATTTAAGTGCAACCCACTGAGAGCACCACGAAAAGAGATTTTGACATGCAAAGGGGGATCTAAACCATCACCCTCTTGTTCCCTCACACTGGCTGTCAGAAAACTCACAACACTGTCGTAACTCTTTTACCACTTGCTCCCAGCTTGGGCAGAGACAGACATTGCAGAGGACAGACATAATGCCTAGAGAGTGTTCAGGAGGAGTGTTTTCAGTTCTGCTTTATATGAAATGTTCTTGATATGTCACCTTGGCTTAACAACTGAACAGTTACAAAAAATTAGACTTTTCTAAAAAATATAATAAGACAAAACCAGTACAATACCTGCCCTGAATAACAGGTGGTCTCCCTGCCCCCTCCATCACAGTGTTCCTGGTGTTTTAGTTCAGGTCTAATTTTTTTAAGCAGTTGATCCTGAGAAGAATTTTCTACTTGTTGGCCATCTCAACAATCTGGAACTGCTTGTAGGTACCTGTAGGAAAAGTGGAATTTCCTGGAACGCATATTTAAATTATTTTCCGTTTAAACTGAAAAAGAACAACTCCAACACAACTGCTTAACTTTTTCATGGAAAAGGTCAGTCTTTATTGTATTGCTTTCACATCTGTACATAGGAACATGAGCTTAAACAATCGGGAAAGTATCTTGTGTTAGATAATGAATCCACCTGACATATAAAATTCACTCTCTGATCTATTTCAAAACACACAATTTAAATAAAATATCTTACTAGCACAGTTCTTGCCGTAATACTGCCCTGAACAGAACCTCCTTGCAGTCACTCCTGCATATTTTCCCCTGAGAGAGCACTGTCTTTGAGCTACTAGCTGGTAGAGTTTTCAATGTATGATTGTAAAACTTGCTTAAGCAGTATGTAGAGCATGTCCATTCGGGCAACATGATATTTATTCAGAAGTTCATCAAATATGAGTAACATCTTGATTTTCTGTTATAATAGAACATAGCTTATATTATTTGTTCATACAGTCCGTCTCAGCACTACCTATGGAAGCCCAGTATGGTGCATGAATCACTGCAGTTAGTGCACACTCGAGAGGCAATGACCATGGAGAAAAGTCACAACCGAGAAGGTCTGATGACAACTCTTCTTGTTGTCCCCTTGTCCTCCTCTTCATCTCTATATTTCAGAGTATAGTTTCTTTCCATGACTTGATCCATTACTGTGGTCATAGTCCATTTCAGGTATTTAATGAATCTGTTTAAAAGAAAAAACATAAATACAGAGTAATCCTCTATACTTAAAAGGAACAGAGAAGTCACTGTGTATGTTAGATATAGCACCATGCCATTGATGTCTCTTAAAAGTAAAAACAACAAAAAAATCAAAATATTTTGTGACTGTGGATAATAATTTGAGAAGTAAAGGCCTGAACAACTTTTCAGAGAAAGCAACGTTACAGTTCCTGTTATTGTCAGAGCACATTAGTCCTTAGTGTAATTTTAACAGAGGCATGGAGGATATCAGTGTGAGGGTATGAGAATAAGCTGTCAACCACAGTCTATCACATCAATTAGTAAGGGTTGCTCTTAAGACTGAGTACACCCAGCTGTGAAACACAGCAGGACAGCCTATTTTAAGCTAGGTTTGATATTATTAGTCCTGCTTATTATAGCCAGTTTTTTGAACTGGCTATATTTTCTTAAGCAGATACCATTCATTAGACTGTTGTTATTTTTTGTATAACTGTGTTAATTATGTATTGCCTACATTTGACATAGCCTCTGATTTTTGTCACTTAGAGTCACTTTGTTCAAAGCATTTTGGATCCACTGGTAAGTAGTTATGGAATTAAATAACATGTTGGGGTATAACTTCTTGGTCTTACTGAGAAGGCTAGATTGCTGTTATATTGCTTTATCCCCATTTATCTAATTTGCCTTTATTGGGTCAAAATATCTAACAGCTGTTAAAAGGTGATTTGTTACTATCATCAGAAGTAAACACAAGGCTGAGGAGCCTTCTTTAAGCCAAACCAGAGCTGTGGATTATGAAGGTACTGGGCACCAGTGACTGTATCCATTTGGTCTTGTGTTCTTACAGATGACTAA